TGAAATTATTATTTCTACTAAATATATAAAAAGACGATTGAACATTCATACATAAAATTGTGAACAAAATCAATGTTAAAAAATAGGCAAAAGTTCGAGGGAGTACAAAAATGCACTAATACTACAAACATAAAGGACTATTAATACTCCACGTGAAAACACAAGGATTATTTTGGGCTTTTTTCTCATTTAAAATTTGTTTAATTGCACGTCATTCTAAAACAATGACATCAAGTTGTTTATTTTGTGCATTTTGGTACAAAATGGTCCTATCGTCTAGTGGTCAGGACATTGGACTCTGAATCCAGTAACCCGAGTTCAAATCTCAGTAGGACCTATTCATTTTTTTTATTATTGATTTGACGTAAACAATTAATGCAGATACATATTTATATCAAATTCTCTTTTTTCGTGCTTTCTTTTGAGGTAAATTTAAAGAAACAAAATCTACGTCAATCTCTTTAAGCATTACTTTTTAACAAATTTACCTATTAATGCATATATATGACACAAAAATGAACTCAAATTGCTGATCAAGAAGTTTATCTTGACTGATCATAGATGCACTTCTAATTATGTTATTCCGAAGCTAGTTTGACTTATATCATCACTTCCGATCTTTGAGGGGATAGATGATGGTAATCAAACGTAATAAATATTGCACGTGTAAGCTAAATTTGATTAGATTCTAACTTTCATGTGTCAACTTCCTATAAGATCTGTATTTGTATAATTATAAGTGTATAGGACGAAAATATATGTATTTGTATTTGTATATACATTTTTCTCTCGTTTTATACAAACACAAGCACATTTTATATATTTTATACCGAAATGTATAAAATGACTAATTGTATACCGAATCAGATAGCAAAAAAAGGGGATGTTTGTTGCGAATTATAATTAAAATAAACTATGGCTATAACATTTAATTTGAATTAATAGTTTGCTATTTCATGCAATTTTCCCTATAATGAACATATTCAACAATCACACAAATTTTGAAATAATCTCCAAATATTATTTCATACTAATTTTTCCAAGTTTTTTTTTATATCAAAATCAGAGGAAAAACAACATTGAACACCCGGAAAATAAGCAGATTGAGCCTAAATAAAACAAAGAAAAAATAATTTCAAAAAATTGACTTTCATTTCACTTTTTCTCTCTTTTGGAAACAAAAGAGAAAAAAAAATTCAAAGCTCGTCCATGGGGATTTTTCAACAACCTTTAAAGGTTCAAGAGTTTGCCAAAAAAATTATTTTACTAATTTTTTGAGTTTTTTTTTTAATAAAAAAAGAACATTATTTTTCATTAATCTAATTTTTGGAAATTTGAATGTTCTTTATAATTTTCATCCTCCTCCTCAATTGTTTGAATTTTCTTTATTATTCAGCAAAATCTTGGTTTTTATTTGTCAAAACCAAGAAAGCTGAATTTTTTTTAATTAGAAATTGTTATTTTTATTGGTTGCAAATGCAATCTGGGGAATGTTCTGTTGTGGCTCCTCATTCCCCACCCTGGAAGTTCTCTACATTTGAGGTAATTTTTTTAATCACTTGTGAAATTTTATGTTGCGGAATCTTAGTAGCTCAGTTGTTTGGTTACCTGAATTTTTTACCTTATTTGTTCATAAATATTCTATTTTCCGCCTTGTAATCCCCTTCCTCATTTCTCCTTTTAAAGGAAAAAACACCTTTGTATGTGGTTATAATATTGAAGAATGTGTAATTTTTTCTGCATTTATGTGAAAAGAGAGAAAAAAAGAAAATATTTGAATTTGTATTTTCATTATTTCAATATGTTGCATGCTAAGAAACAAAAGTTGGGTGGACATAGTTATCTGATACTTATATTGGGGAGAGGAAATGCTTTGTGAAATTAGTCGAGTTGTGCGTAAGCTGGTCCAAGACCATATCTAGGAATTTTAGTGTGCATTGATAAATATTGAATTATCTGACAATCTTATTTAAAAGCATAAATTGTTAGATAGAGCATATTGTTAATTACTTAATTATGCGTTCAACACGTCTTTTTACTCTACCTCCTTTTCTTAGGCCAAAGCTTGTGTTTTGTTTTTTTTTTGACAATGGGTGGCGATTAGGCTAGCTTATAACCCCTGCCTCTATCTGCTATGTTATCATGTTGAATTGTGTTGCCACCTCATCTAAAACGTAAGTTGTGCTAGCAAGAGCATACTCTTAATTATTTAAATTACGCGTGGACTTGGAAACCTCCGCGCGACCATGATGTAGCATAACTTCAATAAGAATAGTTTGTTAAGAA